TGAAATACAACAGTGTGTCATCTGCAAATAAATGGACTGAACATTTTTTTATTGATCTGTTTATATCATTAATATAAAGGATAAATAGCAGTGGTCCCAAAGTGCTACCCTGCGGAACGCCTACGTCATTTAAAATTTCGGTCGAAGTATGTCCATTGATTTTGGTTACCTGCAATCTTTTGTCCAAGTAGTTACAAAGCCACTCCAATGCTTTATCAGCTATACCATATCTCTCCAATTTGGCTATTAACATAGACCTATTCACTGTTTCAAAAGCACGTTTCAAATCAAGAAAAACAGCACCAATTGCATAATTTTCATCCAGAAGATTTTTCCACTCATGAAGAATGTGCTGAATTGCAGTTTCACAGCTATGCAATTTTCTAAACCCAGACTGATTTTCTATCAATACATTATTTGCTGTAATAAAACTAACTAGTTGACCATAGACCACTTTTTCCAGTAATTTTTCGATAGTTCCTAACATATTTACTGGTCTAAAGTCTTCAACTTTAATAGACCCTCTAACTTTTTGTATAGGAATAACAGTTGCCACCTTCAACAATGATGGAACCCTGCCAACCTCCAGTGAGCTATTAATAATATGTAATAAAGGATTTTTAATATTTTCAAAAGTGTTTTTTATGAAATCTAATGTTATATCGTCAGGGCTACCCTTATTTGGTAAGCTAAATAAAACCTCGTGAAGTTTTTCATGATCTATCATCTTGAACGAACTAAGGGTATCTTTAGGTTTATCAAATACATAATTTATTTCTGAATAAGTATTATCTATACTATCAACTATGTGAAGCACACTATTAACAAAATATTTATTTATCCCATCTGCCATTTCTTCTGAAGAAGTATAAGTTACCCCTTCTATATCTATTTTTTTCATTTTATTCCCTTTTTTGTCAGAAATTACTTCACTCAATGTCTGCCACATTTTTCTTGGATTATTCTTTACATCATCAATTTTATTGTGATAAAATATTTTCTTTTCTTCCCTTATTACCATTAAAACCCTATTTCTACACTGTTTATAGATATTTTTGTTTTCCTCCGTTTTACTTATTTTATAATTTCTGTATCTATTATCTCGGTCCCTAATTGCTTCTTTAACCCTTTCATTAAACCATTCTTTATAATAGTATTTTATCAGTTTTTGTTCTCTTGGTGCTATTTCATTTAGCACCTTTAAAAGTTGACTATAAAAGATGGTATATTTAATATCTATACTATTATTTACCCGATAATCCCAATCAATTACACTAAGAGAATTATTTATTCTAAAATAATCAATTTTACCTCTTGTATTTATTACATTATTCTGCCTTTTAATTTTATTTAAATTTAAATTCATTACAACTATAAAATGATCACTTATTCGTGGAGTTTCCTCTACAGTACAACTTAAAATCTCCTTCTTATTTGAGAAAACCATATCTATAATACTTCCACCCACCTCTGTAGAATGAGTAACTTTTTTAACCAACTGTTCCAATCCTACATCAAGAGCAATTTTTTTTAATCTTGTAGAATAAGTGTTGTTATTTAACCAATTAATATTAAAATCACCTACTATTATAACTGGATGACCAATATCAAGCAATTTATCGCATATCTGTTCGAAAAACATCAAAAAATCAGCATGACTAGAACTAGGAGAATGATACAGATTTCCCAAAATATAAACCTTATTGAACAAACATATATGTATCTCTAGGAACCAGTAATTCCTTAGGTAGTTATACTTTTTAATTTGTAGAATACTGATTTGATCCTGTATAAATATCAATACCCCTCCCGTATGTCTATTATCACTGTCCTCTCTTATTATATTATAACCTGGTATATCAAACTCAAAATCACCAAAATCCCTAGTCAGTCTTGTTTCGGTCAGACACGCGGCAAGCACTTGTGTTTTTTGTATATATTCACTTATTTCATCGAATTTTGATGGCAAACTTTGTGTGTTTAATAAAATGATATTATTTTGCGATTTATGCGTATCTGTATGATAGTTATTTTTCTCCGACACTAGAAAACCAGTTCTTTTTTTTGTATTTGATCTAAAAAATGCTTGTCACAATCCGACACGAAACAGTTATCAGATAAGATTAAAGTGTTACTGGTTGGTTCCAAGATACATGTTGATCTCCCCATAACAGGTGGAATATTTGTTTTTTGTATGCAAGCATCACTATGATTGTTAGAAGACGCTGTAATGTTTGAGATGTCTTTATCTCTATTTGTAGTAGTTAATACAACAATATTATTTGGCCTGACCAAATTACTATAGGAAATATATTGCCTGAAAAGGCTACATAGTTTGTTTTTATTTAATCGATAACCTTGCTCATATTTGACGTTTTCAATTATTCGTACTGATACATTACCTTTCTTAACAAATGAACTGCAAAACATGTTCATTCTCCTGTACATATTTTTAACCCTATAATTTTGTGGCGAATCATAGTTTAAACACAAAATAAGATTAGTGTACCTTCCAATAGATAAAACATCTCTTATATCTTTAAACCTTAAATTTAAATTATCATCAATTATCAAAGAAATTATTATGAAATCATTATAACTGAATTGCATAGACATACTAAACGTACTACTTACAATTTCACTTATTGGAGCTAATTTTTTTGTTATACCAAATACCTGGAAATTGTCATTTAATAATGATTTTAGGATTTTTGCACAATCTTTTGCAGATTCATCACCAGAGATTAATACGTTGATTTCTTCTCTAACCTTCCCACTTGCTGGCAACCTGTCTATTTTGTTAGTGTGATTTTCTCGAGGATTTTCTTGATCCTGTGCATATTTTATTTTCCCATAGACACTCCGCTTATCACTACTGTTTGTGTTTTGAAAAGTGTTCATTCTTGACGGAAGATTACTACCATCAACTTGGCCATCATTTTCTTTGTTAACACCTATGGAAACACCCTTGTTGTCTTTATCTGTTATTTGTGTACTGATGTCTTCATCCGAAACACTCCATATCTTGGTTTGAGTCTCACGTGATACTTTAATAGTAATCATGTCATACACGAGTAAGGCCTCTTTTATTAGATCGTCATCAATAGTTGTCATTGTATGAATATTTCTCAGGTTACTACTATCTGTTTGTGCTTCCCCTACATTAAAAGTTTTAGATTTGTCTATGTCTATGTTTAAGGGGTTAACTGATGTTTCAGTCTCACAAGATTTCAAGAACTTTGGCAGTGTCTGTGTTTCATCAGAATGATGGATTGAAGTTTCTTTACTGTCTGTATGTTTTTCTTTTCTAGCTTCTGACAAAGCTTTATGTAGCTGTACAATTGTTGCTTCAAGATGTTGAATTTTATTTCTATAGTGGTCTTCCATGTCGAATACCTCCTCTTCAAAAACACTTGAACGACGTTTTATTTCTTCAAAATGTTTACTGTGGTGATTCAACTGTTGTTGTAAATCAGCATTTTCAGCAGTTAGTTGTGCAACTATTTCCAGTGTGTCGTTCATTTCTTCCCCTTTTTCCATACATAAAGTGGAGCAATATATTTTATGTCCCTCCAACAGTTTCCAGTTCTTTTTTCTAGACCAGCAGGATTTGTGCATTATTGAATTGCAAGACACGCAACAATATAAACGAATCTTTTGCTCCTTATTAGGACAACAGGGAAATATCACATTTTCACTGTCGCTTTCTGACATTACTCTTCTCGTTATTGCTTGCATTTTTAGGCAGCTGGTTTTAATTTTGTCAGTATAGAGACAAAATGCTTTAATACTAAAAATCATGCATGTACAAACGGAAGGGGGCGATTCTTTGGTTTTTTCTTATGACTAAATAAAATTTCAAAGAAACATAGGTTTGCAAACGCTTCGTTACCGACCTACAGGGTGTTGAAATTTCAATATAGTTTTTAGTTTTTTTTTTATAGCTCCTGCTGCTTTCGAGGGATTAAGCCCAAATTTGAAATATAGGTTACGCAATAGGAGCTTAATGATTGTACATTCCACAGAAAGATTGAATCATAAAGGTACCTTTTGCATTACCAGCTTTACCAGACAATTATTATTGCTTTTGAGAAAGATATGGTTTTTGTGTTTTTGCTGGTGTCGCCTTTTGACAAAGTCTGAGCACTGAGGAGCGATGATGGCTTAAAGGCGAAAGCGCTAGGCAGCTAGTAATATACATTACGCTGAAAGGCTCTATTTTAAATAAAAAGTCCGCTCACAAAATTTACAGAATTTCGTTATCATTACTGGATTATGAGAAATTCTCCCGACTTCGCTCTGAATGTCGTCAGCATGTCCCCAAGTCCGCCAAATTATCTTGATAGTATTGAAGGTAGAGTGCAGGAATAAAGAGATGGCCTATGGAGTTACATGAACTCAAAAAAGGAAATAAAAGGTTTTCCTTCTTCAATGGTGTTTGGGGATCGAGAAAGTGATACGCCGCAGGGTATTTCAAATCTTTTTTTATGAACATTTCTCATCAGTATACACAACCTATGACCACAACGAGATGAATAAATCTAACGATAAGTCCATAGCATGTCTTCCTAAATTCCCCATAGCTCTTGAATCCTATTTATTAGAGAGAGCCTTAGGTATATTATAAGTGACTTTTTTCTGACTACTACATAATTTTGAGCGTTCTACATGCTGGATCATCGCTTATAGTTAATTTGTTTATTTTTATTTTTGTTTTGGCTTTGTCTTCAAATTATGTATTATTTTTCATGATGATAAAGCATTATTATTCTCTTTAGTTTTATGGTTTAATTACCGCGTCTCACAATCTGTGGTTCGAAAGCGCAGAATTTTTGATTTTTGTAAAAATTTATTCTTCTTTAATTTTCAGTTTCGATTCATCGCATTTATTACGTCATATATGAACATTTTAATAATTCTCTAATTAATATGACTTTTTCATATTATCTAGATTAACGATTTCTTTTGAATAATACAAATCTGCACCTGAAGTTTATTGTTCAAAAATAAATGAAGACTTCTATAACTAAAGTCTGAAATGACTTGCCATAGTAATTATGGTATACCTATACCTACTTATTGCCATCGAGATCAAACAATTAAAATAAACGAAGACGAGTTCTAAGGAAGATTAACAGACACAGATAATTATTATTCTAGCTTACTGTTAGGTTAAATGGCAATTTGCTAGCTGTTAACTTAATTTTTGTGTTTCTCGCCGGTCATATGGGATCCCTGAGAATGCGGTTGTTAATTGCGATCCAAGCGGAAGAACAGCGGGTAAATAATGGTGCCTGTTAGCCTAATGCTAAATATTCATATTGTACGAGAGATCTATCATTGTCTTCTACAATTACAATAAAAATCAAGCCGAAATTTATTTATTCAATGGTAGAATAGTTGAGAGGTTCCTTCTTTTATAACAATATTATTTTCATTTAAAAATCTATGTTTGGCCAGTCTTTGCATGTAAGGTCTACAGTCCACATCTTCATCTTCCAGTTTACTCAGTAAAGTCACTATCAAATGGGCGCTTCCTATTATGGCAAAAGTGAGCATGATGGATTCGCAAGTGGTTAGGGCCATATGAAAATTTTTCAGTTTTAAAATTATTTCTTATCTTAAAAAAAAAAACTACAAATTAATATTTGAATACTTATTGAATAGTTCAAAAACTTACTCATTTTAGATGCAATGGATGAATGATGTTTTATAGGCAAAAGAGGATTTTTTAAATGTTCATTTTTGCACTAGAATTTTGTGTTTTAAATTAATCAAAATGATTTGTTTGTCGATGGGAATTGTCAGGTTGACACAACCAGTTCAATATAATTTACTGGTCAATTTTGAAATAAATTGAGTCACCTCAGCAAAAAAGAATAAGAAGAGATGATGATATAGACAAAGTCAGAAACAGAGAAAGATAGTGCATCTGGACTTGTGGTCGTAGATGAAATGTTATATGTGATTTTAATTGTAAATTGATTTTGTCATTTTGTTTTTAGGAAAAAAAAAAAATGATTTTCACAAGTTATTTCAATATTTGTGTGTGTCTTCAATCAATATGTACACATTAAATGTCTGAATAACAATTTTTCAAATTTCTGGTAATAGGTATTATTATAGGTCAAAAAACTCAAAATTTAAAAAATCCAGTCGGCACACAAATAACTTTGTGTGGTTGCATATTAAATTTACAACAACAATTGAAGCTTTTTAAACACCCCTTATCTTTTCGTTCTTATTAAATATTATTTAAAAAAATAATCCGTCAGAAATTCAACTATTTATACAGCTGTCCTATAGTCGTATTCACGAGAGAGTTTGAATTTTGACCGTTATTTTCACCAGTTGAAAATAAATAAAATCCCCAGATCTGTCCCTTTTTCTGACAACTATCAAATAATGATACATGACATTTTGATTTGACACATAAAAATATCAGATTCGGGTCTTTGAATTTTGAATTTCGAATTTTTGTGTAAAATCGTTCAGTTTTTTGCCGTTTTCTGTATTATTTTTTTATTTGTTATTATCGCAATCGGTTTTTTGGTTTTTTATGTAGTGTTCTGTGCCTTTGTGTTTCGGTGTTGCGTTTCAAACTTGGTTTTAGTTTGGATTTAAGTGTTTACTCTTTTTATAAGTGTTTACTTTGGACTCTAATTTAAGGATTTTTGGATTTTAATAACTTAACTTCCTTTAAAGAAATTGAAAATAAATTTCTATTCTGAAATGTATATTACTTTTCTAAATACGACCCTGTCGTTTATCCCAGCTGACGGAATCGAAGCGCTAATGCATGCTGACAACCTAAAGAAAAAGTTTACTAAAAATGTCAACGCGAACTGTCAACTTCACTTTCTATCGTGATTCAGTCTATACCAGAACCTCAAGTATTCAATTCACTCCATCAGTTACCAACCGAATAATAACTAATTGCAAATTTATTTAACCCTTTCGCTCACTGTGTACACATTTGTGTACATCAATTTCTAAGTACCCCTATATAAATTCAGAAAGGATTTCGGCTATTTGTTCATGGTGTCCACATTTGTGTACGTTATAAGGTCTGTTCGCAGAGAAATCACAAACCAGTCGGAGCGAATTTCATTGGTTGAAACTAGTTTTCTGACTGTTTCTGTTTGTTTTCAACCAATGAAGTTCGCTCTGACTGGTTTGTGATTGCTGTGCGAACAGCCCTATTATTAAAATATATAGCTACTACTGCTATGTGTTTGCTTGATATATCACCAGCGAATGAAAACACTGTTTTACTAATAACTCGATTTAATTCTGGGCACTGAACATACAAATAAATCGAAATACTTTATTTTGTTAACAACAACACGATATCATAATTGCGCGGCAACCAGCTGACTAGAAGTAAACATTAAACAACAACCTGGGACAGCTGTCTTCTGTCACGTCACGTCAGGCCGCCAGGGTTGTACACAATAGTTGAGCCATCCAGGGTTGAACACAACGGACTCGCGGAACAATGACGCCACATCTACTCCCCTCCCAGTGACGAAGCCACTTGTGGGAGGAACGAAACCTTCTTTTTTGAGTAAGTGCGAAGAGGGCGGTCCATGGTGAAGGATGACGCTGGGTGATTCTCCAGGGTGGATGAAACGGTATCGGGTTTAAGGGTGTAGGCTGGCTTCAGGGCGTCCACAGAGACAGTCTTCTCAACGCCATTGATTCGAATGCTGTACACTCGGTCATTTATTCTCTTGACGACTTCATGCGGGCCAGTGTAGGGCGGTTCGAGCGGGCGACGAACAGAGTCCACTCGGCGGAAGACATGACTGCAAGTTGCGAGGTCCTTGAGGATGAAGCAGCGAGATTTGATATGGTGAGCCGTAGGTGTTGGGCGGACTTTCCTGATGTGGTCCCGGTATTTTTCGAGGAAGACTTGGGGATCAGCTGGGGGTGACTCAGAGGTGAAGAATTCACCAGGTATACGCAGGGGTGTCCCATAAAGGAGCTCCGCTGGTGAGGCATTCAGGTCTTCTTTCAGGCACGTACGCAGACCCAGAAGAACGGTTGGAAGCACTTCCGTCCAGGGCGTGGGTGCTTGACACATAAGGGCTGCCTTCAAAGTCCTATGGAAGCGCTCTACGATGCCATTGGACTGCGGGTGATAGGGCGTGGTGTGGATTACCCGCGCTCCTACAAGGCGTGCAAGAGCCGAAAATAGTGAAGATTCAAATTGCGTGCCCTGGTCAGTTGTGATGGATAGTGGCGTTCCGTAGTTGCAAATCCAATTGACATAGAGAGCAGACGAGACGGTGTCAGCTTCCATGTTCTGGAGGGGTACTGCAACAGGCCATCTAGAAAATCGATCAATTATGGTTAAGCAGTAACGAAATTTGTTGACTGGTGGTAAAATGATGAGGTCTAGGTGAATATGCTCGAATCTGTTGTCAGGTACGGTGATGTGCTGTGGTGCGAGACGATTGTGTCGTTGAATTTTGGATTTTTGACACTGAATGCATTGGCGGGACCACTGGAGGGCGTCCTTCTTGATTCCAGGCCAAACAAATTTTTCTTTGAGGCTTCGAGCAGTGACTCGGCCGCTGGGGTGTGCCAAACCATGCACAACATCAAAAGCTTTGCGTCGGAGACTTGTCGGAATGTAGGGTCTGATGCGATCTGAAGAGATATCGCAGAGGACGTTGGCGTTTTCAATAACAAGCTGTTGCAGATTGAGCGATGATTCTTGTGGCGTATCTTGGTCTTCAAGCTGTGCGGCTTCGATGGCTTTAGGAGACAGTGACGTTGGCATGGAGATAGCGTTAATACGAGACAGGGCGTCAGCAACGGCGTTGTGTTCTCCCTTGACATAGACGATTTCTGTGCTGAATTGTGAAATAAAGTCCAGTTGATGGAGCTGTCTGGGGGATGCTTTTTCAGCGCGCTGAGCAAAGGCGTATACCAGTGGGCGATGATCAGTTTTGATGATGAACTGGCGTCCTTCCAGCTGGTGACGAAAGAACTTTATTGCAGCGAAAATCGCTAGCAGCTCGCGATCGTAGGTGCTGTATCGCGTTTCGGTGGGACTCAACTTGCGGGAAAAAAAACCTATGGGCTTCCAGCAGTCGTCGATCAGCTGTTCAAGTGCAGCTCCAATGGCGAAGTCCGAGGCATCAGTGACGAGTGCGTGACTTGCAGAGGGTGAGATGAAGCTGGTACAACTCGCTTTGACAATGCTTTCTACACAGTCTTGGTAGGCCTTCTCTGAGCTGGGTGTCCAACGGATGGGCCGTTTGTCTTTTTTCTTGGCACCCTTCATAAATGCATTGAGAGGGGCTTGAAGTTCAGCGGCCTTTGGAATACAGCGATGGTAATAATTGAGCATTCCCAAAAACTTACGAAGGTCAGAGATGGTCTCTGGCTTGGGGTAAGAAGCGATGGCTTGGATCTTGGAATCAGGTGGTTTGTATCCGAGCTTGTTGATGGAGTAGCCGAGGTACATAACTTCTGACTTGTTGATTTGGCACTTGCTGAGGTTGATAGTGAGTTTGTTCTCACGCAGTACATTAAAGATTTTGCGTAGATGTTGCAGATGTTCCTCATGGGAATCCGAGAACACTATCAAGTCATCAATGTAGCATGCTGCGAAGTCAATACCACGGAGAAGGTTGTCCATATGACGTTGAAATGTCTGAGTGGCATTGCGTAGGCCTGGAGGCATACGCAGGAACTCAAAAAGCCCAAAAGGAGTAGTTATCGCTGTTTTGGGTATGTCCTCTGGTGCTACAGGAATTTGGTGGTAAGCTCGAACCAGGTCAATGACAGTGAAGGCACTTTTCCCATGCAGCCGCTGAAAGATGTCTTCTGGTAGTGGTATGGGGTACCGATCTGGCACAGTCTGGGAATTGAGCCTCCTAAAATCACCTGTGGAACGCCATCCACCTTGCTTTTTCTGGACCATGTGTAGAGGACTGGCCCATGGACTGCTGGAGGGATGGATAACAGCATGATGCAACAGGAGGTCGAAATCCTCTTTAGCAATCTTTAGTTTCTCTGAGTTTAGCCGACGTGGACGGTCATTGACTGGCGGTCCAGTGGTGACTATGTGGTGATGAGTTCCTGTAGGGGCGTCCACTGATGGGGCTGACCTTGGACGGGTGATGTCAATAAACTCTTCCAGCAACTTGCTATAGGGTTGACTGAGTGTAGGAGGTGCATATTCTGCATTATTGACAGTGGAAACAGTATGAAGTTCGGTTTCATGCATTTCAGCAGGAGAAGACAGTGAGGTGAGAGAGTCCAGAAGGCGCTTGTGCTTTAAATCAGGAAGGAGGCCATGATGTGAAAGCAGGTCGGCACCTATGATTGCTGATTTGACGTCTGCAATGATAAATGCCCACTTGAAGGATCTGCGGAGTCCAAAATTGAGGTTAAGAAAGTGTTGACCATACGTTTTGATAACTGTTGCATTGGCTGCATATAGCATGAGGTCAGCAGGCAGAAGTTTTCGTTGAAAGAAGCTTCTTGGAATCAAGGATACAACGGAACCACTGTCGATAAGGAACTTCATGCCAGTGACCTTGTCTATGACGTGCAGGCGACTTTCTTTAGATGGGAGGCAGGTGCTGTTGACATTGCTGTCGCTTACCACCTGAACAGGCGACAGCATATTTAGTTTTCCTGGCGCGGAGATGCTAGTGGCAGCTGAGATGTGCAGGGTTGCACACATTTTTGGGCCCGGGCACCGAATTTTCGATGATATCGGCATTCTCCAGAAGTAACAGAACGCTCACGTGGTTGTCGACTGGTAGAGGTGAGACTCTGTCTGATGGCAG